AAAATACACGACGTAAAAGACCCTTTCTGTACTAGTGTTGAGTAAGTTCATCTTTGTTGTTTCTACTTCAAATTCTCAAGTCCACTCATTAAATTATGTCTAGCATTTTATATTGATTTTATATTGTTTTCATTGGTGCCAAAGCTATATCTTTATTTATCTATGATGCGTGGGTATTTTTTTCTTCGGTTTTCTTAATTTTTTTTATGGATACAGGTTCTTTCTTTAATTTCTTCTGCCACATGGTGTTTTAGGCCAAACATCTAATCTTTTCCACAATTCACAAATCCAATCAAAATAAAATGTTGGAATGTATCTACTTTTAACTGCTTCATAATTAAAAGAAAATATTACCTGATTGCACTAAATTCAAAACAGGAAATCTACATTAAAATGTTAAAAGCATGTAAGCAACATCTTTAACCACTATTTATCTTACAAGTGGCATTAACTTAACCTAAAATAACAAAGATATTTACTTTAGAGATAAAGACCACTAGTAACTTATAAGTTATCATTGCATTGCCAATAAATCCATTTAAGTTTGTATATTTCCTTACCTCCTATCCTAGTAATGTAATTCAGAGCTTAAATTATTAATATCCAAATTTAATCAACTAGAAACACCCTCGAGAAACATAACTTAAGAAAAATGGGAAAACAATATATACCTGAAAATTTGTCCTTCCACATTCACACATTAACAGGGTATCTCCAGTGAATGCCATTCTCGATTAACGTTAAATTTAAATTCTTTTGTTAATTGATTTTGCTTCACCATCGAAAATGTCATGAATTCTTTCTCCATCTCTTGGGTTTATCTCTTTCTACTAACAGCCGTAAATCATTGGGATTTTTCATGATTGTTAGTTCTTTGCCTCAATGATTTTTTGTTATACTACATTTTTTGGGGTTTCCGTTGCTTAAAGTACTAGCAATTTGTTTTTTGGGGTGGTATTGGTGGTGTTAGTTAAACTTTCTTGTAATTTCTATAAATTTTGGTGTACTTTTTAACCTCCAGCTTCTTGTATGGTTTAGGTTGAAACAAGGAAATGTGTCATTTAATTACAGGTATTACGTTTTTGCTTCTTTGTGATATGATATTTTTCACAAGTTCTTTGTGGGGATGTTTTCTACTTCATTTTTGGCCCCTTTTGGCATTTTTTACTAATACAAGAAATGATTATCAATTGATCATGCTGCTCTGTATTCTTTTGTTTTAATTATTTTTTATTAAAAATATTACAGGTATTACAATAATACGTTGCAGAAAGTGGAAGGTAATTTAAATATTGCTCTTAGTCTTTCTCTTGTATTTGGTCTTTCCTACAAGGGTTGCTGAGCTCTAGGTGGTTCTATTTCTCGAGGTTTAGGTGGGTTTATTTGTAACAAGCGGAGAGCTTAATAGCTTTAGCTTAGGGGGATATATATTTAGAGTATTAACATTTATATAGGAATATTAACATTATAGTCAATTATATTTATGTTGATTTGATTAGAATAATTAGTTACTGGTTCATTAGCCGAGGATTAGTTTTTGCCACCTGAGATTATTCTATAACTGATAGTTAACTCTTTTTTTCTCTTCTAAATATCAATGTTTGCTGGCAATCAGTTTATATAGTAACTGAAAGCTTGGATTGCAGTTACGGAAGATTTCTCTTGTCCATTTTGTTTGGTTAAACGTGCAACATTCAAGGTTAAATTTACTTCTGACTACTGATTTAAAGCTCTATGTTTATCAATATGATAATATGAACCTGTTTTTAATGTTTCCGACATGACCTGTTTTAGGGCTTACGATGCCACCTATCAATGTCGCATGACCATTTTAATTATGAATTTATGTTCAGTAATCTTCAAAACTCTTGCTAGCTTTCTAATCAAATATTGTATATTGTGTTTGTTCTTGAATTGCACATTGAATCATTTGAAATGTGAGGATTGCAAGAATGAATATTGAAATATAAATAGTTATTTTTTTATTGAAATATAAATAGTTATTTTTTTTAATTGAAATATAAATAGTTTCTATAGTATTAAAGAATTAAGTTTTTTGTATGTTACTCTTTGGTGCTAGAAAATCATGTGTCTAATTGGAACGTGTCAAATTATTTTTGTGTAATTTGTAAACAAATTTCTAAAGCTATATATATGTTCATTACAGGTAATTAGAAATAATTCAAAAATAAGCATGATTTTTTTTTAAATGCAATCTACATCGGTTGTCTAGAGAACCGATGTAGGTTTATGCTTAAATCTACATCAATTTTTCAGAACCGATGTAAAAATGTATATATTTTCTACGTCGCTTTATTCTACATCGATTTTAGAACCGATGTAGATGATTTTAGAGAACCGATGTAGAATATGCATCTCGTAGTAGTGCCTTATTTTGGCTGCACCCGTAATCAATGTAATATTTATTCTTTATTGTTACTTTTCTCCTGCAGTTGCAAATACAAATTCCATTCTTCTCATTTCACTACAACATCTTTCACATTTAACAATACTTAAAAAATGTTATCAAATTAAGAAAAATGTTACCAATCATAATTAGCAACACTTTTACAAATGTAGTATAAAGTCCATGTTGCTAAAAGGTTTTAGCAACATTTTAACATATCAATTGTAACATTTTATAAATGTTACAAATTGACATCTTTTGTAACATTTTAGCATATCACTTGTAAAATTTTATAAATGTTGCCAATTGACACCTTTTGCCACATTTATCAAATGTTACAAATTTATGTTTTAAACATCTAAATTATAACAACTTTGAATCCATTGCTTCCTTATTAACTTCAAACAGTGAATTGAAAACTTACTATATTGTAACACTTGCAAGCATGAAGTTATGCATTTAATGAATTAAAATAAATATAAACTTCTTATTTAAATCCTTTTTGTCCATCATGGTATCATTCAAAAGGCAATACTAAAGATAAAACCAAAATCATCTAAGTGTCACTATTGCATTTTTCTACGAATTCTCATTTTGAGTTGTGTAACTTCCATATCAAATAGTAAGATGTCTTCAATATACACACAATCTAAATTGCCACAACCACCACCACCACCATATTCACTCTAAAACTTGCAACATAAACAAAATAAAGGTATAAAAAATTAAGAACAAGTATAAAAAATGGCTATTAAATACTGTCCTAAACTTTTAACTCATTCCTTAGAAATTAGAATTGGTAGATAAAGAAATTTGATCTCCTTGGGCAACATTTTGAAATGTAAAGTCTAGAAAATTTTTCAATCCATCTAAATACCTACTAGATGATCTAGGTTCTTGTATCCAACTCTTATCCATAATTATTCTCTCATGAAAAAATAAATATACCTAAAAGAAATAAGAAAATTCAATATAGTACAATATAATAATTATTAGAACAAAGGAAATTCTTAAAAAATTGAAGATGCGTGAATCTAATAAAATGGTGTAAAATTCATAATATGAATAAGATTCATTCAACTTATTACATGTTATAAATGCACAAGAAAAGCAATAAGAAATTGATTATTTCTCTTATCAAAATCACAATAAACTTACCCTTTAAGAGAAATGCACTAGGTGAGAGTCCAGTATTCAAAAATCTGTAATTTTTTGAAATGTACCTGTACAAGAAGTTAATATAAGAGAGTTTCTACAAATTGGCTTATGCATGAATTAATTTTATCTTATAAAGAAACTTATTTCACTTTTCTTTTATATTTTTTTCTTCTAAAGTGTTTATGAAAAAAAAAATTATCTAAACTGACTCAGTTGAAATCTTGTACTTTTTATTACATACATGCAACTAAATAGACTATTAAAGTAGTAATAACGACTTTTTCTGTTTGTACTTCAGGGGCGTTGTTCACCCAAAAATGATCAGTTGGCTAGATATACCACGTGCATCCTTGATTGGTGGATGTTGTATGGCTATCAAGTATCATTCACAACCTTGTGACTCTCTTTTCCTTAGTTAAACACTAACTAACAAAAACATCTGGGCATCCAATGCATGCATCAAAGCAAACTTTCTGGAAGAAGCCACAAGGGACCTTTAATTAAACAAAAATGTTCCACAAGATAAACAAAAACACGAGTTATAAATAGAACTAAAGCCGAAAACATGTGGTTTTAGTGTGTATGCTCTTACATCACCATGTCTTATACTTTATTAAAAGCTGTGTAAATAACATTCAAATAAAGAAAGCAAAAGCCAATGATTTGCTATATTTATAAGAAAACCGTTATCATAAAGAAAGCATCGTATCTAGCATTTACGATATTGTGAACAGGAAAACATCTATAGTCTGTTTCGATGGAAAAAACAAGTCACATAGCTATTGTTTCAAGTCTTGGTTTCAGCCACTTGGTCCCTATAATTGAGTTCACCAAGAGACTTATCAAGCTTCACCCAAATTTTCATATGACATGCATCATTCCCTCACTTGGGTTAACCCCAGAATCCTCCAATGCCTACCTTAAAACTCTTCCTTCGAACATAGACTCCATTTTTACCCCTCCAATCAGCAAAGAACAGTTACCGCAAGGAGCATATGGTGGATTCCAAATTCAACTCACTATTGCTCTTTCTCTGCCAACAATACACGAGGTCCTGAAATCCTTATCCTCTAAGGCTCCTTTAACTACATTAGTGGTAGATGTTTTTGCATTTCAAACCTTGAAATTTGCAAAGGAGTTCAACGCGTTGTCCTATTTTTACTGTCCTATTTCAGCTTCTTTTATAATCAATCCTCTCCAAGCATTACCTTATAATAATGGTTATAAAGGTATTACAAGCTTGTAGTTGTTGTCTCTTTTATATGTGATTACAACAAATTGTTTTAGTATAAAAAGGCTCTTGAAGAAGATATTCTCGGAGTTTTTTCTATAATTACACTTCTATTCTCCATTGTTGTGCTTCTTTTATATGTTTTAAAGTTTCTTATATAGTAGTTTTGAAAGAGATGATAGTTGCAGCTTCTTGAGTTTGAATCATAGAACTGTTTCATCTTACTTCTTCATCTAATCTTTAGAGAAAGGAAGTATTCCTTGGTGTATTAAATGCTTCAAATAATGTCTTTCACCTAAACGTACTTCTTATCTTTGATAGATCAGGCTACTTATCAAAGAAAAGTAGCAAAGAGAGAACAATAGGAAGCAAAGTTAATGTGCAAGCGATAATGCATTCCTTTTTCAGTGCCTTTTTCGTGAAATCTGGGATCTTTGTCCCTTTTTTTGCTACTCTTAATACTTTTATACACTTTTAACAGAATGTGAGTTCTAAGACAACAACTTTAGATCTATAAAGGTATAAAACATTAATTTGAACATTTAAACTTGTTAGTCACTATAAATAATGATTGTTAGAAACAATTTGTATGCTTCGTCTAATTAACTTCACGTTATAGATATTACTTTGTCTTACTTAGTCTGAAACAACAACTTTTATAGCGTGTTTTATTACAAAAAAATGTAGTGTTTATTATCATTAAAACTTATAAAATATAAAGGATCTAAAATCGTCTTTTGACTTAACAAAAATCAAATAAATTATATAACCATGAGAAATATATAACGATGATGGGTGATTAGTTTTCAATTTGTGGGTGATGAAGGATTGATGATATATGTCTATTTATTTGTGTTGTGAAACTAATTTGTGTTCTGTCATTCGTTGAAGAATTAAGACTAAAAAAAATTGTTTCTTTAATTCATAAGCAACTTTGCTTATTTAAGAGTCATTGTATGTTTTTAAATAACTTTTTATGTCAAGTTATTACACTTTAATAAGAGTTGTTAATAAACACTATTACTTGTTAGTAAGATAAACTAGAAACACTCTCCATTGAAGATGCTTTTAGAGACCGAATGATTTAACTACAAGATTTTAATCTATAATGATCTTTTTAATATGTTTTTAATTACCAGAACCTAATTAAAAAATTGAAAAAATTATGAGAATCTACAAATTAATTTAACCATTATTTTTACACTATAATACTCCTAATTAGAGTGGAGAGAAAACAATATTAATTATGAGAGAAAAATAGTATAAGGATAGTTTTAAAAAAAAAATTAAAAATTATACAAGTTATAAATTATGATTTTTTAATCTTGATAAATTAATTAGTATTGAAATCTTATACAAAAGAGGAGGATGTATATAATTTGTTAAGTAATAAACTAACAAGAAATTATATTAGATTATAAAAAAAACATGATCGAATTTATTAATTAAACTTATTACAGTAATAAAAATTATATATAACTATTCCAAATGTGAAAAGAAACGATATTCCAACCATAAAATTTCCAACGTATGTTTCAAAGTTACAATCATTTTCCATTTATTTACATTGGTGAAAGTTGAAAAACTAAAAGACAAGAACAATACCCAAAATGAAAACAATAAGAAATAAAGCGATTGAATTGCAAATTAAAGCAAAAAGATTCTAGAAAATTAAGCTGCTAAAAGTCTTCGGGCCTTCCAATGATAGAGGGAGAATGAAAGCAACAGCGAACCATTAATTAAACCACAAACAAGTTTCCACAGGATCAAGAAAATTAAAGACGAGTCATAATGAGGTTCAGTGGAAAATGCAGTTTAGTTCGTATGCACTTACATCATCATGTCTTCCAGGAAACGCTAGTAATGGGACCATCTTCCTCATCCAC